CGGGGTCGTACGGAGCGACCTCCATCATCGACTGAGTTTGACGGTGCTGCTAAGTGTGCCGTGGCGAACACACTGCGGGCTGCGAGTGAACTTGCACGGAGCAGGACAGTCATGGCATCACCGAGCCGTGGCACCACCGAGGCCACTGCCAGAGTTGAAGGAGCCCAAGAAGCAGCCCGACCCGAATAGCAAGCGGTCCTTGAAGCGCCATCAGGAGCAGCAGAAGCGCCTCGACCGCCTAGACACGGAGTACCAGAATGCACTCAGCGAGATTATAGAGGAAGACCACGAGGACACGGAGGATGTACCGTTCTTCATACCGCTTGACTTGTGGCAGCATACGGTAAAGCCCACGGATGCCCATTTTGAGTTGACCGAAGAAACGAAGATGTTGGATGATTACCTCACGTACGACAGCCAGGAGACCTGGGACGCGGAGGAGCAGATTACAAAGGAGCACGGCCAGTGGATCACTTGTGTGGAGAAGGCAACCCTCGTAGCGAGCCGCATTGACGAGACGCAGCACGACGCTTACGTGGGGCGAGCGGCTGGACTGGGAGTCAGAAGAGCGCGTGCAAGGCCGACACCAGGACGCACACACTTGAAGTATGCGGCGGCAGAGCACTGGGGCATCTGCACGACGTTCTTGACGAGGTACTTGGCTCTACGAAGACACGACGCGGATCCGAGGCGGCAGAGGCAGTGCGCGAAGCAGTTCTTGGAGGAGATCAGGGTGCTGAAGGAGCTCAACCAGGGGGATGTCTTTGGGAAGAACATCACGGAGGACGAAAGGGTGGCAGTTTACGTGACGGCCCCTACCGCCCAGACGATGAGCGTGCAGGAGCTGGAGGATTACACCCACAAGGTGGAGCGCCATGCGACCATAGCCCATGCACGGGGCATCACCAGTCAGAGGCAGGAGTTTGCCAAGTGGGCGAAGCAGGTGTGGATCAAGTCACCAGGCGCTCTACACCGCCACGTGAAGGAGAAGGCGGCTCCAGCAGCGGATGCGACCATCGGAATCGAGCGGCAGATCGCGGACCCAGGCACGGCGACGGCGCACAAGTCGGAGTTCTGGGCTGGCATCTGGACCGACCCCGTTGACACCAGGCAGCAGCTGAAGGAAATGCTCCACCAGCTCGCGAAGGAGGCGATGGAGGAGGAACTGCCTGACCTCACGGCGGAGAGTATCGACAGAGTGGTCAACAAGATGAGTGACGCGAAGGCTTTGGGCATTGACTCCCTGGGGCCTGGCGCCATCCGACGCTTGCCCGAGCCTGGTCGTGAACAGCTGCGCGGCCCCACCCAGTACGCGGAGGAGAAGTGCGCGTGGCCGAGGCAGCGTTCTGCGATGAGATGTGCGTTGGCGGCGAAGCCCAAGGGCGGAGGCAGAGCATTGGGCACGGTTGCTGCGGCGCCGAAGATTTGGAGCAAGGCGCGGGCTACGTTGGGCGAGTCTCGGTCCCAGGAGTTGACCGATCACGGGGGCACTGCGCTGAGAGGGTCATCAGCGTTACGAGTTGGTTTGGTCAGAGTGTGCATGGACGAAGCTGGCACATCCTTGGGCTTCAGCTCTCTCACGTCGTTATTAGACATTGAGAAGTTATATGATTCGGTGTCTCTGGTTCAATTGATACGGATCGCGCGAAGGATGGGCTGCCCATCTGCCCTCATTTCTTTGGAGGTCCAGCAATGCTTGGCACCGAGGTATTTGCAACAGGGGTCGGTTTTGAGCAGAGTGATTTTGCATGCTCGTTCTCTGGTTGCTGGGTCTCCGAGGGGCGTGGGCCTGGCTAAACTGTTTGTGCACCCGATTCTGGGCATGGTGCATGGGCGTTCGCCTGCTGCGGGACTCTGGACGTTCGTTGGCGATACGACTGCGCGGTGCGAAGGTAGTCGCGCCTCCGTTGGGCCTGCGATGATAACCGCTGCCATGGACCTGAAGGCAGGTCTGGAGGATCAGCGCATGGTCATCTCGTCTAAGACAGTGTTGATCGGCTCGAAACCCAGCATCACCAGGAGAGTCGCGGGCCAGCTACGTGCTCGTGGTCTACCTGTGTCTGCTGTCGCGGAGGCGGTAGATTTGGGCCTGGACACTTCGGCGGGGCGCAAGCGATCTATACGGAAGTTGAGAACGCGGATTAAGAGTGCGTGCAGGAGAGCAAGCAAGATACGCAGGCTACGGAGGATAGGAGCTCTGTCAAAGATTGCACGGTCGCTGTGGAGCACTGGTGCGGTACCTCAGGCACTATATGGTCATCAAGTGGCTGGGCTGAGTCGACAGATGGTATTGCAGTGGCGACCACAGGCTGGGTTCATGATTGGTGGTGCTGCCAAGGGCCGCTGCATGACGACGACGTTGGGGTGTGAACCGACAGTCCAGGACCCAGCAGTGTCCATCCCCATTCAAGTGATCAAGGAATGGATAACGATGTGGCAGAGGAACCCACACCTTCATGGACGAGTTTGTGCAGCGTGGGGTGGTATACGTGACCGGCTACGACGCGCTGGAGTGCGACGGTGGAGCTCTGTACGCGGACCGATTTCGGTGAGGATAGCCACACTGATGGACATTGGATGGGAAGCAGTCACGGCAACATCATGGTTACGACCGACGGAGTGTGATGACGACCCTGTGGACCAGTGGGATATCCCATCGGCTGGAGACCCAGGCTTCACTCCGACAGGCAGTTTCCAGGCGCTCCTCGAGGATGCGGAGGCTGACATCCGTGGATGCCTCTGGAGGGCAGCCAGAAAACATATTGCTGGTCAAGACTTGGCAGGTGGTGGTGACATGTATCAGATCGTGAGTGAGCAGAAACGGTTGGAACGCGCTAACCAGATGGATCTGGTTGCAACTAACATCACCGTCGTGTCTGCTGGCCAGTGGTACAAGGAGAGGTTGGTGGAAGAGGGCTACCAGGTCGAGCCGTTGTGCGCCCGCTGCGGAAAATGCCCCGAGTCCCTCTTCCATCGCATTTAGCACTGTGAGAGTAACGTAGGTCACGAGGATTTTGAGCGCACGCAGTTTTTGACCCCGCAAGCGTTTGCACGACATGAATCCGAACCGAGCTTGTGGCTTCGGGCCCCCCCCCCTCCGACCTTACCCACCCTCGCTTCGATGAGGAGGCGATCAGAGGATTGGAGGAGAGGTTTGGAGGCCCTGAAGATTTTGAGAGGTGCCGCCAAGGCGAGGAGCTCCACATTTTTGGAGACGGCTCAGGAGGCAGGTGTTCGGACGATCCCCGTCGGAGAAGGTGTGGGGCGGCGATCACTGCGCTCCGACCGACAGAAGATGGTTTCGAGTTTGGTGCTGCTTTGTGTCGACCGTTGCCTGGGGACAAGCAGCGGGTTCCCAGGGCGGAGGTGCTTGCTTTTTCGATGGCGCTTTCGGAGATCCAAAGTTCGCTTATTTTTGTGACCGACCACTTGGCGATTTTCCGTTCGTGGAAGGACCGCTTGGAGGTCCCGCGCCCTGGAGGCCAAAATGAGGACCTGTGGACCGAGGCGCGCGTAATTTGGGAAGCGAGGTCGGACAAAGATCAGTTGACGGTGGTCTGGACCCCATCCCATTTAGATGAGCACCCAGAGCAGCTTGAGACGCCTCTCGAGCTGTTCTACGCGCGTGGCAATATGACTGCCGACCAGTGGGCGGGGAGGGCTTCGGAGCTGGCGGGGGAGAGGGGGCTTCTTGCAGATATGCCTGAAACGGATCAGGTTGACGCGCTGGCGGCGTTGATCCGCCGCCGAGCGCGCACAGCGATGATTGAAGCCTCTGCAGCGGAGCCCCGCGCCAGATCTTCCCGCCCTGTGGCGGCGCCTAGAGTGGCTAAGCGTGACAGAATCCTGATGGCGTCGGCCCACCAACTGAGGAAGTGTGAGTCGAAGTGGGTGTGTTTGCGGTGTAGCATTGTGGTGGCAGACGCCGCTTTTCAGAGTTTTGCGGAGAGCCCGTGTGCAAGTGCATCCTCCATGAGCGTGGAAGCCTGCCCACTGGCCCCCGCAGCGGTCAGACTTGCTGCTGCGGAGGTCCACGTCACCCATCGCATGAGTTTCTTCCCACGTTGGTTCCTTTCGGTTTGTTGTACCTGTGGCAGGTACCACACCACCGACCCTCGTGGGTTGAAGAACCGCTGCGAGGGGCCCTCGGCGAAAGGTAAAGAAAATTTAAATCGATTGAGTCAGGGGCGCTTTCCACGAAGAGAAGGCCCCCCCAAGCCGATTTTGGCGGCTATGGCGGAGAGGGAGCGTTTGACCTTGTCGTCGAGTGTCGTCGTCGATGTGTCGCGCGGTGCTCCCTCCCAGCCGCAGGCCTCTCCTCCTCCCTTCCCTTCCAGACGTGAAGGCCCAGGCGGCAACGTTGCTGCGGCGGCGAGGACCCGCCATCGAGCGAGACCCCCGCGGCCCGCCTGAGGGAGCTTGGAGTAGGTGGAGGGTTCGGAGGGATTTAGCCTCCCAGTTTGAATGGCCTTAAGGGCCGAGGACAGCGGTCCGCACTCAGCTAATCCAGCTAGTCCTCCTCCTCCTGCTCCTCCTCCTTTTCCTCCTTTTCCTCCTCCTCCTCCTCCTCCTCCTCCTTTTCCTCCTCCTCCCCCTCCTCCTCCTCCTCCTCCTCCTCCTCCTTTTCCTCCTCCTCCTCCTCCTCCTCCTCCTCCTCCTCCTCCTCCTCCTCCTCCTCCTCCTCCTCCTCCCTGCTGGTCTCCGTACCCCCCCCCCCCCCTTCCTCTGGGGCCCCTGGCCCGCTCCCCCCTCCCCCTGCCGCTGCTCCTGCTGCCCCCTGCCATCGCGGCCCAGGCCGCGGCGTTCCCCCCGCCCACGGCCACGGCCACCGGCAGCTTATCTCAAAATAATCAGAGGCTCTGCAGGGCAAGGAGCCACAGATGCGCAAACCGAAGCGTCGAGATTTTGAAAATATCGACGAGCATGCCATTACAGGGACCCTCCGAGAGACTGCGGTGAAGAAGAAAAAGAAATTATGGGTGCGGCGGCCCGGGCGGCAGGCGGAGACGGCTGCCGACGATCTCGCCGAGCTCCGCGCGGGCCAGGACCCCCCGGGGGCTGCCGCGGGAGGGGAGGGGGGGGCGGGTGCGGGAGGGGCACCCAGAGCCCCTCGAGCGTGGAGGATGTATCACCAAGGTGTCTCGCTGTCTTCGGCCTCTGGGGAGCCCTCGCCGGGCCTCGGGGCCGTCAGAGAACGACTCGGGGTGAGAAGCCGGCCCTGGGAATGGCTCGAGACCCCGGGGGGTCGACGTTATGAAAGAGCCTGACGTCGGAGGGCTGGGGAGCGGGAGGGTAAGGGGAGGAGGAGGGAGCTGAGTGGCCTTGATGCGCCAGTGTTGGAACGCACCACGTACCGTGTTCAAACCGTCCGTGGTCATTCACGCTGTGTTGGCTCGGCACGCGTTGGTCCACGTGTTGGCGAACGTATCGCGCCAGTACTACGTTTTCAGTTCACATGTTCAGTTCCGTGTCAAAACGTTGGGTGCTGCGTGCTGCGCACCGGAGCACCGAAAAAGAGGCGGGGGAACGCCAGGGAAGCGGGGCAGGGGTAGCAAGCAAAGAGGGGAGGAGGATAACACGAAAACCCATACATACAACGTCATGACTTTCGGGGCGGAGCTGGGTGACATCCCGTGCCCTCCGTTGAGTGACCGAGTGAACTGAACAGCACTGAACTAATTCAACTGGAAAGAGGCGATTCTGACCACACAACAACTAACTGAACTGAACTGACAGCACGATTCAAACCACCCAGGCGCACCCGCAACCGCAGCCAGGCGACACATTTCAACCCGCCCGCGGGCGCAACCGTAACGGCAACATCAACCAGGCGACACGTTTCAATCCGCCCGCAGGCACAAACGCAACCGCAAAAAGGCGACCCATTTCAATTCGCCCGAACCGCCACCGCAACCGCAACCAGGCGACACATCTCAACCCGCCCGCGGGCGCAGCCGCAACTTCAACCAGGCGACACATTTAAACCCGCCCGGGGGCTCGACCGCAACCGCCACTGCAACCGCAACTAGGCGACACATCTCAACCCGCCCACGGGCGCAACCGCAACCGCAACCAGGCGACACATGTCAACCTCCCCGCGGGCGCCACCGCAACCAGGCAACCAGGCGACACACTTCAACCCGCCCGCGGGCGCGACCGCAGCCGCCACTGCAACCAGGCGACACGTCTCCACCCGCCTGCGGGCACAACCGCCCGAGGAGCAGGAGGTGCAGGAGCACGAGGAAGAGACGGAGGAGGAGGAGGAGGAGACAGAGGAGGAGGAGGAGGAGGAGGAGGAGGAGGAGGAGGAGGGAGAGGAAGAGGAGGAAGAGAGGGAGCGGGAAGAGGAGGATGGGCAGGACGGCCAGGAGGAGGAGGAGGAGGAGGAGGAGGAGGAGGAGGAGGAGGAGGAGTACGACGACGACGACGGCGGCGACGATGGGGAAGGGATGCAGGTGTGGTCGTGTTTCAGGGCGTTGCAGGAGCAGGTGCTGGTGGAGGAGGAAACCCAATGGCACGATAGGAAGATGGAGACCCTGGAGGATGAGAAGGAGGGGGAAGCCGATGAGGAGGAGGAGGAGGAGGAGGAGGAGGAGGAGGAGGAGGGGGAGGATGCTTTGCCCGCGGTTCTCCGCTGGGACGTTGCAGCGGGGAATCCCCATTCCACGCTGCTGCCTCCTATTTCAGCACGGCGCCTCCAGAAGTCCCGGCCTTTTCCCAAGGACCGGCTGTTCATCCGGAGCCGCTTTTTGACCGCCCCGGGGCCCGGCGAGGGCCCCAGGGAGCCGAGAGTGGAGAGAAACCTCCCGCCCTGATCTCCGCTACGACGCGACATCACGTTTTGGGTTGAGTCGGGCGCGTCCCTCCACAGCAGGCATATCCGAAAACAGTCCAGAAATAGCCTGGGGCCGATTTTTTTATTTATTTGTTCTTACCATTTGGGAGCAGTTCTGGGGTATTTTCTATTCTTCGTCCACAATCCCCAGACCCCCGACGTCATGATTTTTTCATGACGTCGACCGGGTCTCGACCCATTCCCCGGGACCGGTTTTTCGTCCTGAGTCGTTTTTTGACGGTCCCGAGGACCGGTAAGGGCCCCCAAAGGCCAAAAATAATGAAAAACCTCCCGTCGTGATTTTTTCATAACTCGAGGGGGTCTGGGTCCCCCTGTAGGGGGACAGGCCCGACTCAAGTTTGGGGAGGGGGGGGGGCCCTCCGCTCCGGCGTCGGGCGCCGGCCGGCCGGCCCCCGGCTCGGTTCCCCGAGGGAGGACGCCCCGGCGGGCAACGTTCGCCACAGCTGCACGTCGGGGGCGGCAAAGAGGGGGGTGGTGACCAAGGGGGGGGGGAGATCGTGGCGTGGGCCACGAGATCTCCCCAGACTTCAGAGGGCGCCCCTTCTCGTTTCAGCGCGTCCCTGGCCCCCCCCGGCGCCCCCCTCCCCTCGTGGACGCCCCCCTCCTCGTGGACGCCCCCCCCTCGTGGACCCCCCTCGTGGACCCCCCTCCTCGTGGACGCCCCCCCCTCGCGCCGCCGGCCGTGAGCCCTCCTGGCCGCTCCCGAGCACGGGCCGCGCCGCGGGGCCCCGGGGTCGGCCGGGCGCCCCCCCCCCCCCACCTCACGCGGGGGGGCTGCCTCGAGCGGTGCGGGAGGCAGGCGGGGTCCTGGATGGAGGAGAGAGGAGGAGGAAAGGGGAGGAGGAGGAGGAGGAGGAGGAGGAGGAGGGAGAGGAGGAGGAGGAGGAGGGAGGAGGAGGAGAGAGGAGGAGGAGGAGGAGAGGAGGAGGAAGAGGAGGAGGAGGAGGAGGAGGAGGAGGAGGAGGAGGAGGAGGAGGAGGAGGAGGAGGAGGAGGAGGAGGGGGGGGGCCGACTGCACGCAGGAGTGGCCTTCCTGTGCGGGCCCACTGTCGGGTATGGCCAGGACTCCAGGGTAAGGGGACCGGGTTGGTGGTGAGGCCCCGGAGCTTCTAAATTGGCCAGAGTTGCTAAACCAGGCCTGCCGTAACCTGTGTTTTTTCGGGTGACGGCGCTTCCGGTTAGTGGAATGGGGCGGGGGGGCGCCCCCCGGTACACATCACTGATCCAGGTCCGACTAAACCCAGTTCTGCCAACGCCCGACCATTGTCTGCACGAACGAGATGGGCACGGAAAGAATGGGCACAATGCTCAACAGAAGTTCCCGTTCATTTTGAACAGGACTCGCCGTCCGCGCCGCCGCGGCCTGTGTCCATTCGAGACAGAAGGCCGCCTGCCCAACAGCGGCCGCTGCTGGTTTGGGACAACACTTGTTGTTGGGCATTGTATTTATTTTTCCGTACCCATTTCGGGCGTCCAAACTCAGGAGGGAAAAAACACACAGACACAATTAATCGTCGATTCCTAGGAAAATATGGGAAAATATGGGAAGTGGGGGGGAAGACAAAAACCCAGAAAACATGGGAAAATAGAAGCAGGAGGAGGAGGGAGGAGGAGAAGAGGGAGGGGAGGAGAGGAGGAGGAGAGGAGGAGGGAGGGAGGAGGAGGAGGGAGGAGAAGCAGGAGGAGGAGGAGGAGGAGAGGAGGAGGAGGAGGGAGGAGGAGGAGGAGGGAGGAGGAGGGAGGAGGAGGAGGAGGAGGAGGGCGGGGCCCGCTCGGCCCGCCCAGGCTCCTCCGGGCCTGCGTGGAAGGCCCGCGGCCGGCCGCCCGCCTGGCAGGCAGGCCGCCCAGCAGGGCCAGCCGTCGTCGTCGTCGTCGTCGTCGTCGTCGTCGTCGTCGTCGTCGTCGTCGTCGTCGTCAATTGTCGTCGTCGTCGAGTCTACCCTTCGAGCATCGGGATCCAGGGTTCGAGGCCCTCGAGGGTCGAGGCTTCGAGGCTCGAGGATCGGGCCAGTCGTCTGCCTCGTCGGCTTCCTCCTCGCCGTCGTCGTCGCCGTCGTCAGGACGACCTGCTCGGCCAGCTGCGCCAGGCCGAGCGCGAGCGGGAGCGCCTCTCGGCGGAGGCCCCACGGGGCCGCCCCGCCCGCCGCGGCCTTCCGCGGGGGCCCGGGCCTCCCGCGGAGGGGCGCAGCGACCAAAGCCCACCAGCCCTCGGGTCGCAGGAGGTCCAGGAGCCCAGACCCCCTCGCGCTGCGAAAAAATCACGGCGGAAGGTTTTTCGCTGGTGACGGCCTCGGGGGCCCTCGCCAGGCCTCAGGACTGTCAAGGAACGGCGCGGGATGAAGAACCGGTCCCAGGGAATGGGTCGAGACCCCTGGGGGTCGGCGTTCTGAAAGAGGTCATGACGGCGGCGTTCTTGGGAGCTTTCTCTTCAACCCCTTTCTTCCTCTTCGGGGAGGGGATTATCCCATCCCCCTTACCTCCTCCCCTGGACTTGGACTGGGGGATGAGGGATGTCGCGGGCGGCTCGAGCGTCCAGGATGGATGGTTCCAAGAAGGCCTCAGAGAGTGCAAGATGGCCTCCCAGTTTGCTCCAGATAGCGCAAGATCGCTCAAGATGGCGCCCCCCAAGACCGCCTCAAGACGGCTCCAAGTGCCCAAAGAGTTGTTCAAGGAGGCCCCTAAGAGACCAACATACATCGACGCTCCGAAAGTTCATTCCGATTTGAGAGGCACGGCGCCGCGCCACGCGAATGCAGCGCAAACGCTATGCTGGAAGGGCGCGGCAATGCATACCCCCTGGAAAGCCGAGAGCAGCCGCGCCCCCGTGCGAACCCCGATTCCGCGCGGGGCGCGTTCCCGTTGACAATGGCTCACCCGGGAAACCGTTTCTTGTGTAGGAAGTCCTGAGCGGTCTGCCCATCGGCGGCTCCTTCGGACGAGGCCCAGAACCACCGAGAAACCGTTTTTGATAGGAAGTTCGAGGCGGTTTGCCCATGTTCGGTTTCTTCGGAGTGGGCCCGAAGACCTCGAGAACGATGTGTTTGCAAGGAGCCCGAGGCGGTTTGCACATTTTCGGGTCGTTCGAACCGGACCCGACATTGTTTTGGGCACAAGTCCGATGGGATGTGGCCCACTTTCAGGTCGGCCGGTACACTTTCCGGGTCGTCGTATGACCGAACCCGAAAGTTTTTGTTCGAGGATGTCAAATTCCGTTTGTTTATTTCCGGGTCAGTACACCGTTTGGGATTAGATTATCCTGGCAAAGCTACCGAGCAGCGATGTGTATAAGCATATCTGGAAGCATTCCCCTTAAGATTCAGGTGAGAATCCAGTTGTACAGTTCTGCTGTTCTCGCAGTCGCATTCGCAATGACAGTCGCAGTGGCAACGGCCTTAGGATCCAATGGAATCCTACGGATTCCTGGCGATTCCTAAGGCGTCCCTAGGCATCCTTAGGAGTCCATCGGAATCCCTAGGAAACCTTAGGACACCTTAGGAATCATATTCCTAGGGTTTCTAAGGATTCCGGAGGAATCCTAAGGATTCCTAAGGATTCCTGAGGGTGCTTAACTATGCCTGCGGATTCCGAAGGATGCCTGCGGATTCCTAAGGATTCCTAGGGATTACTAAGGATTCCTATGGATTCCTACGGATGCCTCAGCCTGTCTCAGTTTCAGCCTCAGCCTCAGCCTGCTTCGGTTTGCCTCAGCCGCAGCCTCAGCCTGCCTCGGCCTCAGCCTCAGCCTGCCTCAGCCTCAGCCTCAGCCTGCCTCGGCCTCAGCCTGCGTCAGCCTCAGCCTCAGCCCGCCTCAGCCTCAGCCTGCCTCAGCCGCAGCCTCAGCCTGCCTCGGTTTGCCTCAGCCTCAACCTCAGCCTGCCTCAGCGTCAGCCTGCCTCAGCCTGCCTCAGCCTCAGCCTCAGCCTGCCTCGGCCTGCCTCAGCCTCAGCCTCAGCCTGCCTCGGCCTCAGCCTGCCTCGGCCTCAGCCTGCCTCAGCCTCCCCTCCTCCCCCCCTTTTCCCCCCCCATTCAGCCTCACCTTGTCTCAGTTTCGGCCTGCCTTGGCCTCATCCTTAGCTTCAGCCTCAGTCTCAGCCGCAGCCTGTCTCGGCCTGAGCCTGCCTCGGCCTCAGCCTCAGCCTGCCTCAGCCTCAGCCTGCCTCAGCCTCAGCCGATCTCAGCCTCAGCCTGCCTCAGCATCAGCCTCAGCCTCAGCCTCAGCCTGCCTCGGCTTGCCTAGGCCTCGGCCTCAGCCTGCCTCAGCCTCAGCCTCAGCCGGCCTCAGCCTCAGCCTCAGCCTCAGCCTGCCTCAGCCTCAGCCTGCATCAGCCTCAGCCTCAGCCTGCCTCAGCCGCTGCTTGCCTCAGCCACAGCCTCATCCTCATCCTCAGCCTGCCTCAGCTTCAGCCTCAGCCTCAGCTTGCATCGGCTTGTCTCAGCCTCAGCCTCAGCCTGCCTCGGCCTCAGCCTCAGCCTCAGCCTGCCTCGGCTTCAGCGTCAGCTTCTGAGCCTCAGCCTGCATCAGCCTCCGCCTCAGCCTCAGCCTGCCTCAGCCTCACACTCAGGTTGCCTCAGCCTCAGCTTGCCTCAGCCTCAGCCTCAGCCTCAGCCTCAGCCTGCCTCGGCCTCAGCCTGCGTCAGCCTCAGCCTCAGCCTGCCTCAGCCTCAGCCTGCCTCAGCCGCAGCTTCAGCCTGCCTCGGTTTGCCTCAGCCTCAGCCTCAGCCTGCCTCGGCCTCAGCCTGCCTCAACTCGGGCATTCAAAATATGGCACAGGACTGGTGTTCTGGGAACACGAAGATCACGAAGTGGCCCACAGTTGGTTCCGGGCAATCAAAATATTATACAGGAGTGGTGTTCTGGGAACACGAAGAACACGAAGTGGCCTACAGTTGGCTCCGGGCATTCAAAATGCGGCCTGAGCGTAGTGTTTTGGGAACGCGGAGAACACGAAGTGGCCTACAGTTGGCTCCAGGCAATCAAAATGTGGCCTGGGAATTGTGTTTTGGAATGACGAAGAACACAAAGTGGCCTACAGTTGGCTCTGGGCATTCAAAATGTGGCCTGGGAATGGTGTTCTGTTAGCTCCAGGCAGTCAAAATGCGGCTCCTGGCAATCAGAATGGGGAGTCCCCGGATTCCCGCGGCACCCGTCCGGCATCTGCCCAGACCCCCTTGGGGAGTCATGATGCTCTCTTTTTGACCCCACTAGAAACCTATCAGGCTTCGCTGTTAGGTAAAATTTCGAATTGGGAAGGGGAGCCCGATCCCGCGACCCCGGGCGGGGGTTAGGCTCTGCCCTTGCATTGTGCTGGGCCCATCTGGCCAAACGGGGCGGTGGGCTGCCCATTGGCGCGCCGACTCTGCTTTCGCGACATCGCCCCCATCCGCCTTCGGGCCCCGCGAGTCTTATCCTGCGCGTGCCGCCCCAAATGGTCGCGGCGAGCACGGTGGCGAAATTGGGGAAACTTTCGGATCGCCGCAGTATTTCAAATACCGGAGGATAATACATGTTGTTGGCTTTCTCGCCGTTTCGCTTCCGATGGCCATCCGACGCCTTCTGATGGCTCCAAGGGCGCCCCAAGAACGCCCCAAGAGGCGATTGCTGGCACCATAAAAGGGCAAGGCTAATTGATGCCCCCATCTTTTTGTACCGATGTCTTCACAGATGGCTCCAAGAGCGCCCCTAAAGCTCCCAAGAGCGCCCCAAGAGGCGCCCAGACGGCTCCAAGTGGCGCCCAAATGGCCTCCAAGAGGCTCTCAAGTGACCGCCGAGAGGCTTCAAGGGAATCCCCAAGGCACCCAAGAGGCGCAAAGGCTAAAAGACGGCCCTGGGCCCGCCAAAATGCCCTCCCAGGCGCTCCAAGAGGCCTCCAAAAAGCTTCCGGGCGACATCCGAGGAGATTCAGGGAGGCATTCAAAAGGTTTCTGGCTCCTCTGTTCGCCCTTTTCCTCCTCCTTCTCCTCCTCCTCCTCCTCCTCCACCTCCTCCCCTTCCTCCTCCTCCTCCTCCTCCTCCTCCTCCTCCTCCTCCTTCTCCTCCTCCTCCCCTTCCTCCTCCTCATCCTCCTGCTCCTCCTCCTCATCCTCCTCCTCCCTCCTGCATCCTGCCTCCTCCTCATCCTCGTCCTCCACCTCTTCCTCATCATCATCACCATCATTAGCATCATCATCACCATCGCCATCAGTATCAGCATCATCGTCATCACCACCGTTGTCGTCCTCACCTCATCATCGTCATCATCAGCATCAGCAGCATCAGCAGCATCATCAGCATCATCCTTATTTCCACGTTCTCCTCCCCCGTCCTCCTTCTCGCCCTCCTCCTCGCCGTCCTCCTTCTCCTCCTCCTCCTCGCCCTCCTCCTCCTCTTCCTCCTTCTCTGATTCCTCATCCTTCTTCCCTCTCTCGGGGTACGACGGTTTCTCCATCCCTGTGTTCCTCTGTATGTTCCCCGACTTCCTTGATCATGGCAACTCGTTCGGACATCGGCACTGCATGTTTCTCCACATCCCTGATCAACGCAACTCGCCTAGGCGTCGTATCTGGATTGGCTGGTTGGCTTACGCGAAGCGTCTGGAATTCGAAGAATCAAGAACGGCATGAATCTGGGTCTCCTAGACGGGGTCGGAGTAGATGGGGTCGGAGTATCGCGCCGTATCGTCGATGCATCGGCAATGCGGCTCGATGTGGAGCCCGATGTTCTCCACGCTGGCGTCGCCAGTGCATCGCCCGATACATCGCCGATGTACCGGCGATGCGGTGGGACCCTCCGACCCCATCTACTCCGACCCCTTCTAGGAGGGCTCTCATGAACACAAACTTCCGGAGAGCCACACCGGATCCCTGGATCGGCGCTGGGCTCCCCCCCACCGGCGCGCGGAGCGCGCCAGGGGCGGCGCTCCTCGACAGCAATGCCGGACGAGGACGAGTGGAGACAACGGCAGTGGGCCTTTTGGCGGGGCCCTCGTCGCCACGGCTGGACGCAGCTCCGAAAAGTTGTGCACTTGGACCCTGGGAGGCGGGTCCGGGGGCCGATTTTGAGCCGCCGTTATCTCCACTCGCCCTGCTCCCACGTGGGGTCCGAGCTGATGGAGTCGGCTCGTGCCGCATCGCCGATGCGTCG